TTTATTAATATTGACTTCTAATGAGATTACTTTAGACAGAGCAGCACCAGAATCTTTTTCTGCAAATTCAGACAGCTTTGTAAAAATTTTATCCTTAACATTTTCACTGAACCAAAGATGTAAATCGGTCGATGCGTCTATAATAGCATTTTTAGTGTTAAAATATTTTAAATCTAAACTTTCGCTATCACTTGATTTTTTAATGAATTCGCCGCAAAATGTAGTATTGACTTTAAGCATTCTATTTGTTTTTAAAATAATTTTAATTTTTCTACTAAAAATAATATAACAATCATTTAGGAACTGTGTTAAGTCCTTATGCACTAAATTAACTATAACTCCAGTTTTAATTCGACTAGCAAAACATAAAATGACATTTTCCCATTTAACTCTATTGCGTAATTTTGAATTAAGCCCCAACCCAACGTACTTATTATTGAAATTTAAAATAATTTGCCTAAAATGCTTAAAATGTCCTATGTAAGTTTGCAATTTTCTAACTGTTCCTACGGATAGTTTATTGTTTTTAATTACTTTACTACATCTAAAAATTTGACTATTTAACCGTCTTGTCCAAACTTTACGATCTCTTTCAGTGAATTTATCGAAAATTATTTTACTAAGCTTTTTAATAATGTGCATCAAATCATCAGACTGTTTAATCACTTGTTTTATATGCATGGCTACTCACACAAACAAACAATAAGAAAAAATCACTTACCTTATTCAACTATCTTAAAAGATGCAAGGAGTCTGCTTTTTCCAATATCAACTTCCCCTTCGTATATCAGCGAATAGTTTCCGCTGTTGAGGTCCGTTATTGCTGCTTGGTAGGCTTTGGTTACCCGCTGTGGTAAGAAGACAACTTCAGCACCCAAATCCAGCAGAACTGTCTCCCCAAATTGTGTTGTTACCACCTTTGCACTGTGGATGGTAAATTTTTTTCCAATTTGTAGATCTTTAAGTTTTTTTATTGGCTTACGTTCTGCAACCAAGGATGCATTATTTAGTTTTGATAGATCCATCTACAATAATAATAAAAAACTATAGTTTTTCCGCTTAACGTGAATGGAGAGATGCATTACATACTTGGTAATAGAGAAGAACCATATACTACAAGAAATCGAAATACGAACAGCGGAGAATACTTCTTATAAAAAATAGCAGACGTGAAATGTTTTACAACACCCACATAGATAAAAAGGACATAATAAATACAAAAACAGTATACATTTTTCATAAAATACTGCATGAAATACGAACAGAGAGATGTACAATTCTCATAAAATACAATGATAAAAGGGACATAATAAATACATAGAAATATACAAAAGACAAAAACCGCTTACCTTTATCAGATATATGTAAGTCACTGCACACCGTATTGACTACTGCGAACTTGTTGTTGTAGTACGTTTGCGAAGCGAACTGTGACACCGTATGCGCTCCTCGGCCTTTTAAAGAACAGAACAGCATATCGCCCCACCCGAGCCCGAGTTGCGTCAACCTAATGTGCCTACGGTACCATCAACTGATTCGTTTCACAGATAAGCAACACCTTGAGTTCTAGAAATGCTAATATTTTTATATTTATTTTTATTTCTTCAACTAATATTTATGGTATATAATAAATGATATTGCGGTAAGAGAATCGTTGTTATCAATTTAGAATTTTGTTGATGTGGTTGCTAATATCTTCATACATTTTACAAAATGTAGCAACTGCGGTTTTCTTTCCGGTGTACTTGTTTTTCCAATGATTAAAATAAAATTTGTTATCACACTTGTTTACGTGTTTTGAACAACGCGGTGTATTGTTATCATGAGGCTTCATCCGGTTTGCTATCAAATGCACAATTTTAACATATTATTATTTAAAATATTTCTGTCTTAATATTTCAGTATATAATTCTGTTTTTGTGAATTTTGTATAAATAACTATAGTACCAATTTTTGGATATTAGTATAAATCAAGATGCTGGTCTGTTTACATGTCTTATTGTTGCTCTCTGTATCTGTGAGTGCAGAGAATAGCACTCTGGCGTATGCTAGTTCTTTTCTTAAACGTTTCGGATATCTAAATACATCAAATAATGCTCTTTCTAGTATAGATATGGCCCTAGTTGCTTTTCAGGAAAAATACAATCTTCCTGTGACTGGAACATTAAATAATGATACTATAAATATGATGATGAATAAGCCTCGATGTTCTGTTGGCGACAATAACTATGAGATTCGTTCAAAGTGGAATAAAACGACTTTACGCTGGTATTTCCCTCAGGCTATTAGTAATCCTGATTATATAAATCTTGCTGCAGAAGCTTTCGCTAGATGGGAGACAATATCTAATTTAAAGTTTAAACAAGTACTAATACCTTCCCCGAGACCTGATATTACTATAACTGTGGTACCAAATACTCATAATTTTCGAGCAAGTTGTCAAGGAACCTCTAAATGTTCATTTAATTTCGATGGTCCTGGAAAAGTATTGGCTCACGCATACTTTCCAAGCGCACACGGAGAGTGTACCGAAATTCATCTTGATGTTAGTGAACGATGGTATGTAGGAAATGGCAGCGCTCCCAATGGTTAAGTCAATTTTTTGGCTGTCCTAATGCATGAAATTGGTCATTCTCTCGGACTAGCACACAGTACTATTGATTCGTCTATTATGTATCCTTGGTATCAACAAGATGTACAACCTTTTGGTGATGATGATAAAAAGGCAATGAGTATTCTATATGGGCCAAAAACAACGCCATCTTACATACCACCAACAACACCAGTTCCGCACAACAAGAACCATATGTCGAAAACATCTACAATCAAACACAGGACCTCTTTGTCAACAACAACAACCACACCTGCCCTACAAAATATATTATGTCTAATTCCATATCCAGATTTCATGTTTCTAGCTACTTCTCCTCAGTTTCCAAATTATAGAATGTACGTTGGATATGGTCCATATATATGGAAATTCGATTTAAATGAGATGCGCCTTCCAAAACATCCCGAATTAATTACCGATTATCTCCCTAAAGAGTTGAGGTCTGCGCATGTTTCACATGTTTTTCAGAATTCCGAGGGACACTTAGTAACCATACGCAATAATCAGTATTACGCTGCATCTTTCCCCAATTTAAAACTTCAAAAACGTTTTATGTTTCCTTCTATACCTGCGAGAACCAAAATAAATGCATTATTTCAAACAAACAGCGGTCAAACGTATTTATTATACAATGATGATTCTTATATTGAATTTAATGAAGCTGGAGACGTCTTAAACCGTGGACCCATGAATTATCTCTTACCAGGACTACCAGATACAATAACATCAGCATTCCGCTATACTGATGGGTTTATTTACTTTTTTCAGAACAACACCTATTATAAGTACAGCGAATACACACGTAAAGTTGTAGCAGCAGGAACGTTTAGCTGGGAACTTTTTGGGATACCCTGCCCCAACGACGGGCTATTAAAACAATTAAAAACTTTGTTAAACAAAATTGTAAATATATACGAATAAAAAATGCTCCGTTTATGATGTTGTTGTTTTATTTAAATTCCATTAATCTATATGTATGTTGAGCAATGTCTTGCGTCGAATGACACGTCAATTCACGTGACATTTCACGTTCTGCGTCAAATGTCACATAAATGTCACGTCCTGCGTTAAATATCGCGTCAATTCACGATCTGCGTCGAATGTCACGTCAATTCGCGTGACATTGTACATTCTATGTCACATGTCACATAAATATCACGTGACATTTCACGTCCTGCGTCGAATGTCACGTTCTGTGACAAATGTCACGTCCTGCGTCGAATGTCACGTGACATCCAACGCTTTGACACCTCATACGTCAAAATCCAACCAATAGCAACGAAGATACGTTTTAACGCCCATTTGGCAACGCCGCCATCTTTGTTTTTTGTCTCCCCACCTTCTCCCCGTTCCAACGTGCCCTCGTACGCCTCCATCGGACCAATAGAAACGAAGATACCCCATAATGACCTTTTGGCATGCTCCAATGCGCACGGCACATACTGCATTCAACCCCATTTTTCATCCCCTTTCCAACGAGCCCTCGTACGTCATCCTACGTTAAGCCGTTTGGAACTTACGACCGGGGGTTGCGATTTTAGGGGTTGCAATTTAGGGGTTGGTCCAGGATCTGTGTAGCCTATCTACTCAGATTATTCTCGAAATCCTCCCAGCTCTTCTTTTGTGCTTCAATCACCATGTCTTTTACTTTTGCCCCCTGTTGCTTATATTTTTGATAGCTTTCTGCATTCTTGTTCCCTAGATATTTCTTCCACGCTAACTTCTTGTATTTGACCTCTTCTTTTATTTCATTACTCCACAAATTCGTACATTGTCTGTTTTTATTGATTTTAGCCACTTTGCAGATTTATTTGCCCCCATCTAGGAGAGATTCTTTAAGTTTTTGCCAAGTTTCTTCTAAGCCGTAGTTCTGGTTTAAGTTTTGTAGACTATTGTTCACATATTTTTTATATTTGTGTGCTATTTTCTTATCTGCTAACTTATATGATCTAATAACTGCGTTGGTGAGGTTTCTTGGAGTTTTGTCTCTTTTTCTTGGTTACAAGAGAATGGCTTCGAGAGGTCACTCTAACCGTTTGCATAAATCATCATTTCATTGCATTATGAAAAGTCCGCAAAAGATTGAATATTTTGTATACTGTATAAAAATACCGCTTTTTTTATGCGATTTTAATCATACAGTTTATGACATACACAATTTACTATCGAACAATCCGTTACAATCAAAGTTACCTTTTTTAATTTTAATGAAATTTACCAAATGCAGATCTTATCGCTAAAAATACAACAAATTGTCTTAGTGCCAAGATTTTATATCTTTACGATACTGTTTAAAAGAACTGACTCATGGTAGGGACCAAAAATTCACAGTCCCCGATTTTTGCAATATAGAAGGCACAAAGCAAAAGTTTAATATACAGTTACTTACTGTTTTTGTGTAAACACATAAGTGTAGACAGTCTTCCGAACCAACAACTTTCTTTTCGATATCGTCCCATTGGTAGCTTGGAGGTCCATCTTTTGTGGCATCTTTAATATGTTCCCATTTTTCTACAGGTTCCGGAGCCTATGTAGTTTTCAAAAAGAAAAAATATTAAACATTTAGTATTTTAATAGTTGGGCAGCATTCGGTAAACTGAACTATATACTCAGAAATCAACAAATTCAATTACATCTTAGATCAAAAGTTTTTGATGCATGCATTATTCCGATATTAACTTATGCGGCACAAACATGGACAATAACAAAAAAGAATATGAATATACTTAGAGTCACTCAACACGCGATGGAAAGAGCAATGCTAGGTATATCACTTAAGGACAAGAAAACAAACACATGGATAAGACAGAAAACCAAAGTCACCGATGTGGTGCAAAAAGCATTAAAGCTGAAATGGGAATACGCTGGACATGTAGCTAGGAGCGATCTAAACAAATGGTATAGATCAATTTTAACCTGGAGAGTAGAGGGCAAATGAGAGTTCTAGCCGCACCGTTCGTATACCCCCCACCACCGACCCCCCCACCATTATTATACCTCCCTCCAATGGTAAGGTAAGGGGTGAGAGTTCTAGTCGCACCGTCCGTATACCCCCCACTATTGACCCCCACCATTTTGTATACCCCCCACCACACCTCATACCCCCCACCACTGACGAGGTCAACGACCGGTCAAGGTCAAGGGGGCAACGACCGGTAAATGGTCAAAAACCGGTCCAGGGGGTCAATGAACGGTCAAGGGGTCAACGACCAGTCAAGGGGTCAATAACCGGTCAAGGGGTCAACGACCGGTCAAGGTCAAAGGGTAAACGACCGGTAAAGGGGTCAAAGACCGGTTAGGGGGTTAATGAACGGTCAGGGAGTCAATGAACGGTCAAGGGGTCAATAGCCTGTCAAGGGGTCAACGACCAGTAAAGGGGTGAAAGACCGGTCAAGGAGTCAATGAACGGTCAAGGTTAACGGTCAAGGTTAATGGTCAAGGGGTTAATGAACGTTACACACGAAGAATAAAAATATACATTACCAGTGAAAGTCAAACAGTTCAGGTATGTAAAAACAAGAAATAGTAATAGATAACTTTATTTTATAAGGTAAAATAAGGAAAAAAACAAGAAGTAGGTAAATAGTGAAACAGAATAGTGAAGTACAATAGTATTCCAAACACGGTAGCTTTATTTGGATAAATTCAATATATAGAATATGTGGTGAAAACAAGATACATTTTACACTCACACCTTATTAATAAATGCTAAATACGCAAATAAAACAAATATTATTAGTACAGAAATGCTTTTATTAAATACATTATACCGTTAATACAATAAAGTCTAAATATAAGATTATTAAGTTTGTGATTTACTTGAACCATCTTCAACCATACCATCAATGTCTGTATCAATAACTTCATTATTGGAAATATCATCTTCGCTATTTTCTTCTTTTTCGTATAAAACAGATGGAAGATAGTCTTTTATTCGAATTAAATAACCATCCAACTTTACAGCTTTTAGTAACGATACAAATCCATATAAACATATTTGGTTTTTAAGATACAAGTCACAGATTTCAGCACCTTTTTCATATTTTTTAGCTAATTCTGTACAAAATTCTGGAGAATAAGATGATGGACGCACTGCACCATAAACGGCTTCATGAGAAGCATCAAACTCCAGATTTGAAAAAAGTTGGTGTAAGTTTTGAACACCACTTTTTAAATCCGTAACTTCAATTTCGGTAACGTAACACATCCACATTGTAAATACTAGCAGTAAAGCTGATGAAGAACTGTAGGAATTAGCTCTACAACGTGTTATTAAACAAACACCCCACCAACAAACTCCCCCACTACGATAAAAAATCCATTTCAAAACTGTCTACATAAAATTCATCCCCACCATCATTTTTTGCTTCTGGTAGAAGTAGTTTAGCTTGCTGGATTAAATAATCGAGATTTTCTTGTTGTTGGTCAGGTGTAAACGTATCTATTTTATAATGACCCCATGCTAATGTGTTAACAGTTCCGGGTATAACATACCTCTTATCATCGCGGGAAGTTAAAGCCACTTTATTTTTTAATTCAGTATACATTTCATGTAGATGTGACTTAAATGTATACATTTTACGATAAATTTTCGCATTAGTATTATCAACTACTTGTTTATAATCCGTAAATGTTAAAGATTTATTTATAACGTTTTTGGAAATTCCCTTAGCTTTTTTAAGGTTATCATTGTTACTTAATGTCACACAATAAGCTTTGGCACCAGTACCACAAAAATTTTTAATTGGTTTACCTTTAAACTCATCCTTCAATTTACCAACCACTGATGGTGTTTTTGGTATATTAAAGATATTATCGGCGGGGTAATTGGATGTATCAAATAAATGAAGGTTTTCTTTGATATCGCGGTAAACGTTTTCTGTTTGAATGTGTAAAATTAATGAATCAGTGTCGGTATACAAAAGTGAGGCATTATCTACATATTTAGCTTTAATGTAATTGTAAAAAAAATCATACATACGAATTTTGGATATTTCTAAAATTGAAAAACCGACATACACCGGTTTGTCGTAAATTATTTTTAGGATATTCATTTGAATTGCAACTAAATTATCAGAAAATATTGAAACAGAGTGAAAATTCGGCATACTAATAAACCCTTCAGCACCGACGCTTCCAGGCAAGTTTTCCCAGTGGGATAAAAGTTTAATATCAACCCTTTTATCAACGTTTTCCATAGTTTTCCCGTAAATGGAGTTTGTGTAATTTTTATATGTACTTTTATCAAATTCATTATTTGAAGAATTACGTAAATTTATGTTTAATTCAATATAAGGTTTTAACCACGGTGATTGAGAAAATTCTAGACTTCGATGAATTTTAGTTATCTTTAAACCTTGTTCAGTACACTGTTTCAAATTTCTATAATGGATAATATATTTATTTTTCGGTAATAACGTTAATACAAGCTTGGGATCTTTACTATTAGGAGGAATCAGATTTTCAGGACAAAACGGTAAGTCGTTATGGAAATCATGTAATGTTTCAGGATAAGCTAAATCAACTTCTAAGACATACCCCTTTGGAGATTCATCATCGACTGATAAACAATCAAAATGAGTGATTTCTACATCATCTAACCATCGAAAATCACCATGCGGAAGGAATTGACTCATAGCGTAACCATAAAGGTTTGTAGCATCTAAATAAAGAATATATGAAGTAGGTTTAGAACAATCATAATTCTCACAATACTGATTATTTGCAGCAGCAAATCTAGTGCTACACTGACTTATACCTCCACGTATACCCTTTTTAAAAAAATGGAGCATGTCTATATCCGTCAATAATTCAAGCTGAACATTAGTTTTACGCAACATAGCATCCCAGCTAAGTGATGGAGCTGTTAAATATTGAGCAGGATCTAGTTTATAGTTAAATAAACAATTATGTCGAAAGTTTTCGAACACATCAGCTAATAATAAAATATCTGATTTTAAATAAACATCTGAGTACTCTCCTAAGGTGTTACAATTAAAAACTTCCCAAACTCGCTTAGCTCGTAAGTACTTTTCATCGGAAATGCCTTCACCTTTTAAAATATCGAAAAATTCTTCTTGTGTGGGTAAAGATACCTCACCAAGTTTTGAAAAGTTATCCAGGTATGAATAAGGGAAAACACCTTTTTGTCGTAACAATCCGAACTCTTCATTTGATCGACAATATTTTTGTAACTCTAGACATTGATCATCATTAAGAGTTTTACTTAAATTATCCAGTGAATGAGGTAAAAATCTGAAAGAATCTACAAACCTTAATTTTAAATATACATTTTGCTCTAGATCACCACGATCAACTAAAAGTAGTTTGGTGAATGATATATATTTTTCTTTAGTTTGTGCAATAACATCAATTTTTTCGTTATTCTGAGCTAATTTTGTTATAAACAGATGTGAATCGTAATTGGTTAAATTATGCATGAAAACAGGTATGAACTTAGGTAATTTGTAATTTAAATTACAAGCGTTATGAGCCGCGCCAGAAAACAACCCTGTTAGATGTGAATGATCTCTAACTTTAATTTCGTTAATATCGAACGGTTTATCACAAATGTGACAACATTTACTAGTAAAAAATTGTAATTCCTCTTCTGGTGTAAGTTTTTTCATAGGTTTAATATGTTTAAGATATTTATGATAAATAGTGTAAACTTTTTCTTCTAGTTTTTGAATAAACTTTTCAACCACGTTGTCACCGCGATAAATGATAAGTTGTGATAAACTGTCATCAAAATAACATTTAACATAAAAACCGAATGAATATGGTGTATGCTGATAGGTTTTGACAGTAAACGAGGAATTATCAGAAGGTGTTGCATATTGTATCGGTTGCAGTATACTTTCAAAATCAGCATATATAACAAACGGAACTTGCATTTGTTTCTGAAAGTTGGAAAACTGTAAGATATTTTCTTTTTGTAGATGTCCATATTTATTGAGAATCATGTCGGTAGTTGGAAGCTTAGTATATACAAAGTTGCAATCGTTGTCTTCATGTTTGCGAAGACGTTCTAAGGATGAGAAAAATTGTAAACAACCATTACAAAGAAAAGTCTGACCATTATGGTGTGATTTTTGTTTTGATATTAACCGCGATAAATTTTTAATGTAACAATAATGACTATTCCCGTACTCATCAAAAATAAGTAATAAGTTAACATGTGTAGCTTTTTTAGATTTTGTATAATACAACGGTCCAACGATTTCCAATTGTGTGATATTATTTTTAAAACATTCACTAATTCCAAAAACGTTAATCGAAATATTATTTAGTAATTCAAATTTTGGTATATCTGAGAGTTTCATAGGGAATTCTATATTATCGAACTGTAAGAGACTAGTATAATACGGATAAGAAGTAGTAAGATTGGATTTACCTGTTGGATCAAAAATTGATGCGTTTACCGCCCAACCAAAACATGCTTCATCTTTATTCATTATATTAATAATTGCTTTCTTCATCTCGATTTGTCGTGGTAGCTTGATATATGAAGAAGATCGTAGAGGG